TGTGAAATTTTACAGACAAGAAGGTTTCCTAGAAAAATGTTAACTTGTCAAAACCGATACCAGAAAAAAAGCTGGAGAACCTGAACAGAGCTATTGAAGACATGGACCCTGCAGTTACAAATCTACCCAACTACAAAAACTGAGCCTTCTACAAACTCTGCCATAGCATGGAGAAAGTGGAAAAACTCTTCAACTCATTTCATGTGACTGAAGGTGATAACTCGAGAATAACTATGGATAACTCATTTGAGGGGTGAGGAAGAATCCCAAAGTTTCACAAATCTGTAAAGAAAAGGGAACAAAGAATGATCACAGGATGAAGGGAACAACGCCTGGGACTGCATTTTGGATCTCTAAAATATGCACAGTAAGTACAATCTAAACACTGGATTTGTTAAAGGACCTCCTTCTTTTCATTACAGTTCGTGTTTGCAGTAGGTATAGTTTGTATAAGTAGATGTCCTCAGGATCAGTATCTTTCTCATGCATTCTGTGTAGAGTATCCATGGAGCTTTTCTGTCAAGAGTAAACATTTTGTAACCTCAAAAAATATATATATCAAAACTATATCCACGTGCATAAGAATGAAGGTGGACCCCTTTCCATACACAATATAAACGCCAAGTAGATCACAGGCCTAAATGTAAGAGCTATCTATAAGACTCTTAGAAGAAAACATAGGGTTTTTCATGACCTTGGGTTAAGCAAAGACTTTTAGATAGGACATTAAAAGTATAACCAACAAAAGAAAAAAATAGATAAACTGGGCTTCATCAAAATTAACATCATTCATGCTTCGAAGGACACCATCAAGTGAGTGAAAAAACAACTCAGAGAACAGGAGAAAACATTTGCAAATCATATACCTGATAAGGGTCTAGAATCTGAAATAAAGAACTATTATAAATCAATAATAAGAAGACAAATAACCCAATTCAAAAATGGGCAAAGGACTCAAATAGACATTGCTCCAAAAAAGATATACAAGTGACCAATAAGCAAATGAAAAGATGCTCAACATCATTAGCCACTGGGGAATCAAATCAAAACCACAATGAGACAACACTTCACACACATAAGAATGGCTATAATCAAAAAGTCAGATAATAACAAGGAGGCGGAGAAGTTGGAACCCTCATACACTGCTGGTGGGAATGTAAAACGATGCAGCCACGTAGGAAAACAGTTCCTAAAGAGTTACTGTAGACCCACCAATTCCACTCCTACATATAGATCCAAGAGAAATGAAAACATATGTACACACAAAGAATTTGTACACAAATGTTCATACCAGCATTATTCACAATAGCCAGAAAGTGAAAACAACCAAAATGTCCATCAACTGATAAATGGATAAACAAATGTGGTATGTCCATACAATGGAATATTATTCAGCCATAGAAGGAATACAGTATTGATACATACTACAGCTTGGATGAACCTTGACAATATTATGTTATGTGGAATAAGCCAGATACAAAAAGTCACATCTTGTATCATTCAATTAACAGGAAAATCCACAGAGACAGAAAGTAGATTGGCGTCGGGGGAAGGAGCAGTGACTGCTAACGGGTACACGGTTTCTTCGCGGGAGTGATGAAAACGTTCTAAAATTGTGGTGATGGTTGCACAACTCTGCGAATATACTAAAACCCACTGAACTGTACACTTTAAATGGGTGAATTGTATGGTATGTGAATTATATTTCAACAAAGTTGTTAATAATAAACCGTACAGATGGTGTCTGAAAATTGCATCTTACGTCTCTGTGGAAAAACTGTGATTAAAACACATTTCAAGTGCTAAGTTTCAGTCGGAGGGGACAGCCGTCATCAGCTACACAGGCCGAAATCAGCAGCTGTAAACTTCAACGTCATCACTGCCCTTTCATGGACCACCCCCCACCAGCATCTCTTGGACATTCACCACTTCATACGCCGAGTGAAAACTACTAAATGCACATTTCAGCATTAGGATCCTTAGAAATCCCAAAGTCCTCCCTTTGGTTTTATAGATGAGGAAACGAACCTAGAAAGGGGTTAAAACTCTACTGCCAAGAGTCACAAAGCAAGTTTGCATCGAAGCTGGGATTAGAACCTGTCTCCCCTACCTCACCTTTCTCTTCCTACAGATTTTCTGCAGGGTTCCACGCCCCTCAAACTGGTCTTCTGAGCACGGTCAAAACCAAACTCCTCACAGCCTGGATATCTGACTTAGGCCGTGGGCAGGAGATAGAAGGGGCTTAGGAGGCCGCAAAATCTAGGACAGGGAGGGGGACATTGTGGGGAGGAGACGGGGCTGGGTTTCGAGAAGACAGTTTAAACCCCAGTTCCCGTAAGAGCAGGGGACACAGTGGGGGACATAAACTCAAGGGATGAGCCATCCCGTGGTGTCACATGTGGTCTGGGGCCTGTGGCTATTTTTTCCTGTCGCTAACGCGGTTAGAGGATGAACTCACAAGAACAGTTCCCCACTTACCCAGCTATCTCCACCTCAGACCAGTATGACTTTGCCCCCCCAGAAGTTGTCCTGTGAGTCACTCAACCCATGGAAACCTCATGTAAGACAAAGGTTGGAGAAGGCCCCAGGTCTCTGGCCTCACCCAAGTCTCTCTTCCCCGCAGGGTCGCACAGCTGCCCGCCCACCTGCACCATGGGGCAATCACAGACCAGGGCTAGGGAGGAGGCTGGAGACCAGCGCGGCCACTGGTTCCCCTCACAAAGTGAGGGACAGGAGACCCTGTCCTGGGGTCTGCATTTGGGGCCCAGAACCTGGCCTGGGCTGGGGTGCAGGTGTGGGCAGGAAGTGGGCAAGCAGTTGTGAACAACATTTATTTTCTCCCCACCGCCCTGGGAGGAGGGAATGGTCACGTGCTTTAACACTCACAGAGGGCCAGGCACTGTTCTGAGCACTTCACACGTAGAAACTGCCCAATTCTTCACAACGCATGGGGTCTGCGCTAACATCATCCCCAGTTTGAGATGAGGAAACTGAGGCACAGGGAGGCTAAAGAAGCTGACCAGGCCACACAGTTAGCGCGCACCCGAGCTGGCCCAAGTCCAGGCGGACTGGATCCCGAGCTCCCGCTCTGTGCTGCCTCTGACAGCCCACACATGCGATGCTACGGGGAGAAGCAGGGAAGCTGTCCCTGCTGGCCCGTCACCAACACCAGAGTTGAACCTCGAAGCTCTCAGACCCCTGTGTTCTTGCTCCACCCACTAAACCTCACCTGTTGGCCCCGGGTTCCCATGCCGCAGGCGGCTCTGCTTGGCAGATGAACCTCTGGCCCTCTCGGCTTGCTTCCTGAGTGCTGTCAGCAGGCTGGATGAGGAGGTGAGGGCAGGGTGGGTGCTGGTGGGCGGGGGAGAGCAAAGGGGACCCATGACTAGAGCTGGGGGGCGGGGCAGGAAGCAGAAGTGATGTGAACTGTGGCCTGCGTGATGAGCTGTGAACTGTGGCCTGGGGGGCTGCACCACCATTTCAGGAGCCTCCCGTGGGGAGAGAGGGTGTCTCTCTCGTAGGAGCATCTCAACACAGGACTCCAGGTAGGGAGGAAGCAGGGGGTCAGGCAGGCTGGGAGCCTCTGAGTGGGGACAGAGGGGCACAAGAGTAGGGCTGCTCTGTCTGGGGAAGAGCCTGACGGAGGAGGAAATGCTGTAACCCATGAGGCAAGAGACTTGGGTCCAGACTGTGCCCTGTTACTAACTCTCTGGGCAGCCTCATGCCCACCCTGGGCTTCAGTTTTCTCTTATACAAAATGAAGAGGTTAGAGTACACAGTCTTTAAGGCCCCTTCAAAGGCTGACAGCTAAAACTAAGAAAGCTGGAAACAGGCTCCCCGGGAAATAATATGACGAGTGTCAGGATGGAGACTGAGCTCTTTAGATTAAGGTTATGAACTATGCTGGCTGCCTAAGCAAGATGATCGGAGGGCCTTCAGCCGACTCCCCTTCTCCTATTTACCTCCCTGGGGCCTGCCATCTTGCCTAGAATTCCACTATTCAAGCCACTCCTTTAGGTAAGGCACGGAAGGTTCCAGCTGGAATACAGGGGAAGTTCCTGCTCTCCGTAATCCCCCGGGCCTCAGACAAGCTGCTGTCCGTCCCTGGCAGGTGCCAGAGTGGAGAGGCCTCTGAGGAGCTCAGTCTGGATGGGGTAGAGAGAGGAGATTCCAGATCATAAGCAGGCCCAGTGAAGCTTCAGAGCCGCCTCAAAGCGAGGGAGAACCTTTCATCTAAGCACTGTCCGAGAGTCGGCAATAGGCAGCTTGCAGACGCGGCCAGAATCCCGAGGAGCGTGGCAGGGAATGCCAAAGAGGAGACGAGCAAACCGAACGGCCCCTCCCCACACAGGACCTAGGGGCACAGGCGCATAGGCCGCTTTTATTCTAGAATTCAGGCTGATGTACTTCCATAAGCTCAGAGGGAGGGCCCCAAAGGGGAAATGGGGAGAATGAGGGTGATGCACAACCTCATTTCTTTTCCAATTCTGTTAAGGGCTTAATGGGGGTGGGGGGAGATAATGAGAGAGGTGAGGTGGGTAAAGAAAGCATGGCTTGTTCTTGGGTCCACAATAATACCTCTCCAGAATCCAGGCTTCCCTAGAGTTCCCAGATCCCCCAGATTCCTCCCCAAATCTTCTATGGCTACTGTCCGTCCCCTCCTCTGCACGCCGAGCCCCCACCCCACCAGCAGTAGCTGTGGTCCTGGGGACAAAACCATCCATCTGGATTCCCATTTGGCCTTAAATAGTGAAATCCTAGCAAGGGTCTCCTCCTGGCTGTGCGACCTTGGGCAAGTCCACTCCCTTCTTTGGGTCCATCTGTACAACGTAGGGGGTGGACCAGGTTTGTAAAGGCCATGCCAGCTCTGACATCCAATGACTTAGGAGATATCTCATTCCCTCCCCATCCCATAAGGCCTGATAAGCTCCATTTGGAGGAGGGGTCGGCCCTCCTCCATGCCCCTGCCCACAGCTCCTGCCCTCTGTCTCCGCAGCTCCATGGCCTCCCGAGCGCTCCTCCCCGGCATCCTCCTCCTGCTTCTGCCCGCACCCGCCCCTGCCCCCTGCTACACGGCCGCACGCTCTGAGTGCCGGCGCAACCTCAAGTTCGTGCCCGGCTCCTGGCTGGCAGGGGAGGGCATGGATGTGACCAGCCTCCGGCGCTCAGGCTCCTTCCCGGTGGACACACAGCACTTCCTGCGGCCCGACGGCACCTGCACCCTCTGCCGCAACGCCCTGCAGCAGGGCGCCCTCCAGCGCCTGCCCCTGGCGCTCACCGACTGGCGCGCCCAGGGCTCAGGCTGCAACCGCAAAGTGGTCAAGGGTGAGGGTCGCTCCACCGAGGAGGTGGCTGGGGCGGCGGCCAACAGCATCCGTAACGACTGGCAGGTGGGGCTGGACGTGACTCCCAAGCCCAGCAGCAACGTGCGCGTGACCGTGGCGGGCTCGCACTCCCGGGAAGCCAACTTCGCGGCCCAGAAGACTCACCAGGACCAGTACCGCTTCAGCCTGGACTCAGTGGAGTGTCGCTTCTACAGGTGAGCGCCGGGGTGGGGGGAGTGGAGGGTGGACGGGACTTGGAAAAGGCGTGGGAAACTCAGGGTGGTCTGGGAGCCCTGGAATGGCAGCGTGGCGAGCTGGAGGCCGCTTCCGCCAGGAGGAGATGGCAGTCTTGGTTCTCACGTACCCCTTCCCTGAGGCCCCGATCTGGAAGAACCCAGGGACAGAACAGGTGGAGGGCAAGCCAGCAAGGCTATGCTCAGAGCCCCACGTGGTGCCGGTCTGGTCTACTGGGCACCCAACCGCCACTTCCCTGGGCATTGCTAGCTTCCTGTGGGCAGGAGGCCTGGCTGGGGCCCTCCTATCCCTGGGCCTCTTTCATCCGTTCAAGAGCTCTTCATTTCTGCCTTGCCAAGCTCTGTGCTAAGAACTCGGGCTACAGGCTGAACAAGAGCAGCCATGCCCTGAGCCCTCAGGGACCTACTCACCCTAAGAAATGCATGGTCTCCATGGGACCCAGAGTCACCCTCCCTGACTTCTCTCACGGGAGGCCATGTTTCCCACACAGTGAGACAGGTCGCTCCTGCCTGCGTGGCCACAGTTGTCAGGAGCCCAGGTATACAAGGCCCAACCCAGGGGACCGACAGACAAAGGCCACAGGAACTAGGTTCCAAAGCCAGAGAGATACCATCGGTGTCACACCATCACTTTGTAAAATTAGAAAAGAAAAAGGAAAGAAAAACCTTTTTTTGAAAAAGAGAGACAAAAATACCTATACGAAGTACCTAGGTCACCAAGGGGCAACGGGCAGGGTGGGTTTCCCTGCTGGCTTGGTGGTTCAGAGCTTGAGCTTTGGAGCCAGGCCACCTGGGTCCAAGTCCTAGTTCTGCCACTTAATGTGACCTTGGGCAATCTCACAGGAGTTATTCAGCGGAAAACACTACCCACCACTGGGTCCACCTGATGTTTTTCTCTCCCCTCAGTTTCCACCTGGTGCACACTCCCCCACTGCACCCTGAGTTCAAGAGGGCCCTCAAGACCCTGCCCCCCCACTTCAACATCTCCACCGAGCCTGACTACCGGAGGCTCATCTCCAGCTATGGCACCCACTTCATCCGGTCCATGGAGCTGGGCGGCCGCGTCTCGTCCCTCACCGCCCTGCGCACCTGCGAGCTGGCCCTGGAAGGGCTCACGGCTCAGGAGGTTGAGGACTGCCTGGCCGTCGAGGCCGAGGTCAGCATAAGAAGCCACGCCAGTGCCTCGTCGGCATTCAAGGCGTGTGAGGAGAAGAAGAAACAGCACAAGGTGGGGACCTCCTTCCACCAGGCCCACCGGGAACGCTGTTCTGAGGTCGTTGGCGGCCACCACACGTCCATGCATGACCTGCTGTTCGGGAACCAGGCCGGGCCCGAGCAGTTCTCGGCCTGGGTGGCCTCGTTGCAGGACAGCCCCGGCCTGGTGGACTACACGCTAGAGCCGCTCCACATGCTCCTGGACAGCCCGGACCCGCGGCGGGAGGCGCTCAGGCAGGCTGTAAGCAAGTACGTGACGGACAGGGCACGCTGGAGGGACTGCAGCCGCCCATGCCCCCCGGGGCAGCGCAAGAACCCTAAGGACCCGTGCCAGTGCCTGTGCCATGGCTCGGCGGCCACCAACCAGGACTGCTGTCCCAGGAAGAGGGGCCTGGCCCACCTGGAGGTCATGAACTTCGTGGCGACGGGTCTGTGGGGAGACTGGACCACTGCCACGGATGCCTACCTGAAGGTATTCTTCGGCGGCCAGGAGCTGAGGACCGACACGGTGCAGAACAATAACCACCCCAGGTGGATGACACGGCTGGACTTCGGGGATGTGGTCCTGACCACAGGGGGCCCCCTGAGGGTGCAGGTCTGGGATGCAGACTATGGCTGGGACGATGACCTTCTCGGTACCTGTGACAAGACTCCAAAGTCTGGCTCACACGAGGTGAAGTGCCACCTGAAGCATGGTCACCTGAGATTCTCCTACCACGCTAAGTGCCTGCCTCACCTGGCGGGGGGGACATGCCTGGAGTACGCCCCCCAAGGGCTTCTGGGGGAGCCTCCAGGAAACCGGAGTGGGCCAGTGTGGTGAGAGCAGTGGGCCCTGGGAGGACCAGTGTGCCGAACTGGAGGGGTCTCACGAAGGGACCCGGGGGGCCTATCTCCACATCCCCATTAGACAGTTGGAAAACTGAGGCTTTTTTTTTTTCAGTGAGGTGGCTGAATTTACAGGCCAGCCCTGAGTCACCCTGTCCAAACTACCTTAGCTCTTCGATATTCTCAAGCCCCAGAAATGAGCTGGAGTTGGGCCACTGCTACACAGGTCCCAGCTCAGGTCAGGAGCCGGGCAGAAGGCCAGGAGGCTGTTCCCACCAGGCTGCCTGGTGTCATTTGTACCATTCCCTTGCAGCCCCTCTTCTAGCGTGGTGAATTCTTCATCATACTAGATCTAACCCCTTTGGCCCCAGCTGCTCTGTTTGCTCTGTTTTCTTTGCCCACTAAGCTTTGCCTCTCAGACAAATCCAGAGCTCTCTTGACCTGTCTCGTGTACACAGCCTAACAGAGTAACAGAGGACCAATAAATGTGATGTGACGGTGACCATGATGGTGTTGGTTGTGGCAGAGGAGAGGATGGAGACCAAACGCAGCCTTGGAGATAAACTTCTGCATTAGCAAAACCCTACCCAGCAGAACAGGGGGTTGACCCCAGGGGTAGGCAAATAATGTAAATAAACTATTTTTCCACTTTGGCTGGAAATGGGGGGACCCAAAATATTTTACTTTCCTCATAACTCTCTGATTCGAGTAACAGCAGCGTAAACAGTGATAAATGCCAATGGGCATTCAGTCTGAGCTGAGAAACGAGAGGGAATGGTGAGGATTCTGGTGAACCGAAGGGCACGTCTTATCCAGGGAGGGGGTGGGGGGCTGGGCAGCTCTGCACCAGCCAAACATTCCCAGGCAGGAATGTGAGCCCAGTGCTGCCAGGTTTTCTAATTTCTTAAAGTAACCAGAAATCCCAGCGTGACTTATAAGTGTTGGCAATTCATTTCACTTTGTAAAAATAAACCTATATGGGCAAGCACAGTACAAACCAAAGAGGACATGTATGCAGGCCATGACTGATCCAGAACAACCAGTTTGGAAACTCTAATTTCAGCAGAACCCATCTGGCAGACTTAACAGCTCTCCCCTGTCCCACAGTTCGAGGAGAGAAGGCAGTGGTTTCAACCAGGTAGCGTCTGAGGGCCTCCTGGGCTTGGCATGCAGGAATCCCCAGAGCCTCAGGCTGTGATATAAAATGAACTGGTCCTTGTTTCATGTGCCTGGGACACAGGCCTCAGAACACAGGCCCATGGGGTGGGTGGCAAGATTCAGGGTAGCCTCCTAGACCTGGTAGGATTCGGCTGTGAAGGGCTGCTGTCAGTGGGGTTCAGAGTTGCTGACACAGCCCTCCTGACTCTTTGAAACTCCCTACAAATTAAGCCCTTTGAAGTCCGCGTGGACCCATAGGCTCAAAAGCCCAGCAGTGACATTGCACTGACCCTGAATCCCCAAGTTGGGCGGGGGGATTGCCAAGTTCTAGAAGCCTGGTTGAAACCACCGTTCTTACACCTTTCCCCGCACAGCCACATGCGCGAGCAAGAGCACGAGAGAAATCACGCAACTTCGTGCTGCCTGCTGCACTCATTGAAAATCAACACGGGTATGGGCCATACCCTCAAGGAAAGGCTCCGGAAACAACTCTGACAAGAGATGGCAGCCTTGTTCTAGTGCCCACGTGGTCAGTGACCTCCAGCAAGTCCCCCTGAGCCTTGGTTTCCCCAGAAGGACAATCTGTGTTTTACTCCCTTCCCAGGACTGTTTGGAAGGGGGCCATGAGCCTTTCTAGAAGGTCAGTGCTGTAGAAGCAGTCCTGGAAGTTCATCTGCTTAAACCCTCCTGGTTTTGCATTTAAGGAAACTGAGGCTCAGAGGAAGGGATTTGACCATGGTTGCGGAGGTGAGTGGCCGAGCCAGGTCTCCGTGAGTCATGGGCACTCCACTCTGAGCACAGCTCTGGAGAGACCAGTGGGACCCCGACAGGAGGGCCCTTGGGGGAAAGGGGTGGTATTACCGAGGAAAAGGAATGGCTGATGTTGCTGAGGGGCAGCTATGGAGCTCTCAGCCCTAACGAGACATTTTCATTGACATTTCGCTGACATTTTGTCACACTTGGGGCCCCTTGTTTGTTCGGGATGTTCCCTGCTGTGCCTGGTGTCTTCCATCTGCCCTCAGGTCTCATCCGTACCCTGCTCCACCCGGCTCTGGCCCGGAGGCTGGCTGATCTGAGCCCGCCTGTCTGTGAGCACGATATGGGAGGAAGCGAGAAGGGGAGAGCACAGTGACAGGCCATGGACTCCCCTCAGTGCCTCTCAGTGAGGTGGCCTTGGGTTGACTGTGTCCCTGTATCACTGCTCCTCTCTACGAAGTCTCTGCATGTCTTTCTCTTTCTGGGTTCCAGCCACTGCTCCCTCCTCTCATGCCTTCAGACCTAGGGATGGTAACCGTTTCACCACTACTAATCCCGAGTTATTGTACTACCCCTTCTGCTTCTCTACAGCCCCCTACACCTTTGTAAATAGGCCCTTTATAAAAATAAATGAATAAAAACCCTCCTCAAATTACCATAATTTGAATATGCCACTTAGGCTGTGGTCTAAATGTTTGTGTCTCCCCATAATTCATGTATTGAAATAGTAATCCTCAGGGTGATTGTATTAGGAAGTGAGGCCTTTGGAGGTGATTAGGTCATGAGGGTGGTGCCCTCATAATGTAGGTTACTGCCCTTATAAAAGAGGCCCCAGAGAGATCCCTGGTCCCTTCCCCTATGTGAGGACACAGTGAGAAAATGCCTTCTATGAACCAGAAAGCAGGCCCACTGAATCTGCCAGCACCTTGATCTTGGACTTCCAGCCTCTAGAACTATAAGAAATAAATTTCTGTTGTTTAAAAACCACCCAGTTTGGGGCTTCCCTGGTGGTGCAGTGGTTGAGAGTCCACCTGCTGATACAGGGGACATGGGTTCGTGCCCCGGTCCGGGAAGATCCCACATGCCGCGGAGCGGCTGGGCCCGTGAGCCATGGCTGCTGAGCCTGCGCGTCCGGAGCCTGTGCTCTGCAACGGGAGAGGCCACAGCAGTGAGAGGCTCACGTACCGCA